ACAGTCTTTCTGCATATAAGGTTCCTCTTGTCTCCATTAAGATGCTCAGATTCTTATAATCTTGCCACTGCTTACCCATCTTCAGACTCCTTAAGAGTCTGCCCAATATGATGGATGTTCTAATAAACCTTGTCTTTGGCTGAAAGAAGGCTTGGGTTGAATTCTTTCCAGGAGGACCTGTGTGTCATGATTTTGGGGTCCCAGCACCCCTGAACCCCTAAACCGCATCAGAAGGTCATACGGTCAGACTTGTGCTTTAGGAAGATCAATTTGACAGCTAAGTGGAGGATGGATTGGAACACAGAGGTACTTAAGGCAGGGAGACCAATCAGTAGGCTATTGCAATCATCCAGGTGAGATAATGAGGGCCTGCACCAGAGTGGTGTCAGTGTTAGAGGACAGAAGAGGGCATGCTAGAGAGGATATGAAAATAGAATCAATAGGATTTGGCAACAGATCAGATATGGGGAGGGGGGGGTGAGAGAATGAGTAGTCAAGGATGACACCTGGGTTGAGAGCCTGGATGACTAGGAGAGGGATGAGTACACTCAACAGTAATGGGGAACTTAGGAAGAGGGAAAGGTTTTAAAGAAAAGATGATAAGTTCAGTTTTGAACTTACTGAGTTTAAAACATCTCTGGGACATCTAGTTTGAAAGAACTGAAACAGGGATATGAGCTTCACACAGAGACTATCGAATTACAGGAGTCCATGTTGGCAAGACGAGTCAGGTTTGGTATAGAGACCGATTCTTGAATGCCAGGATTAGAAGCTTCTGAGAGCTATATCCTCCAGTAAGATAAAAGGAAGGCAAATTGCTCACCAACATTTTCTTGCTCTCAAGTTGTTATGGGCATCCAATGTTTTAAAAAGGGATTCCAGATACAAACCTTTTACTACTTGGAGAAAGTAGGAAAGGCTACAGAAGGTGGATGATCAGGCTAAAGTAGAGTTTTTGGGGGCAGCTAGGTGGTGCAGGGGATAGAGACCGGCCAGGAGGATCTGAGTTCAAATCTGGCTTCAGACACTTACTATATAACTGCGGACAAATCATTTAACCCCGTTTGCCTTCAAAAAATGAAGTACAGCTTTGGAAAAGCTCTTACTCATTTTCTTTGAATGATAAAATATGTGGGGCCTCAATGCAGATTGCCTACATTCTACTATTACTACTATACTACTGATGGGGTGATAGGACCTGGACCCCAAAAAGGAAAAAGACCATGTGTTTGAAAGCAACCCAGTCCCTGAATTTTCCCACACATTTCAGCAGCCCAGATCATTGGTATCTCACCCAAGGCAGATGGCCCAGCCCATCTAGATACTTGACAGTCCTTTCATAGTGTTCTTGACCCACCCCAGACCACTTAATACTCCTTTCACTCTTGCACCTGGCCCACCCCAGGCTATTTACCACTCCTTAATCCCATCCAGATCTTTTCACTGTCCCTTTTTTGTATATAAGTATCAGTCTCACCCACATTAAGCTGCAGATTCACTAGGAATCTTGCCAGAACTACTATTGGTGGTACAATAAATCTTGCCACTTTGACTGGAAGACCATTTGAGTGCTTGAATTCTTTCTAGGCAAAATCCACCCTGAACCCTGACATTTCAGGGTTCCCAGCAATCCCTAACTGCATCACTACTACTACTTCTTATTCCTATTTTCTATTCCTTTGAACTATCTCTTTATCTCAAGCACATGTCTATCCATTCTGACCTCCCAACTCTTTCCCTCTCTCTTCCACCTCATAAACAATTATCTCAAAAATATGCTCCTACTTCTTCTCTCTCCCACTTTATTCCCTTCCTTCTCTCTTTTTTTGGGGGGAGAGGCAATCAGGATCAAGTAACTTGCCCAGGATCATAGAGCTAATAAGTTTCTGAAGCCAGATCTGAACTCAGGTTCCACTGCCTTAGATGCAGTGGATGACCTTGGATATCTTTGATGTCTGACCAAGCTCGAAGCACTCCACGGCACCTGCTTGAGCCATTGAAACAAAGTGTTCTCAACTGCCTATTCTGCCAGGGGAAGTCATCCTAAGCTTGGGGTAGATACCACCTTAGCTCACTGACAGGTCTGAGGCCCTCAACCTGGTGTAGCCCATCTACTGAGACAGTTTACTGGGGTGTGGCACCTGCCATGCTACAGTTGCCTGGAGCCACAGGTGAGGATTGACACCAAAGGAGGATGAACAGCCCTGAAAAGGGCTCAGCAAGCCCTCACAACCAGAAGTGCTAGTCCTCCTTGAACACCCCTGTTGGAGAAGTAAACACACCCACTACGCCATTTGTTAGGAGGGAGACACAGGAGGGCTGCCAGCACCTTTCTCACTAGCAGGTTGGCTTTTGATACAGTCAGACAGGAAGACAGGAATGGAGTTATACTTAGGGGTTAAAAAAGCTTACTTTATTCTAATCTAGTATTTTCAAAGGGAGTTTGCTGATAATGGGAGCCCCAACTCCTACAGAATTCCCTAACAACCCTTCTCTCAGAGGCTGGCATGAAGGGGGGGCAACAATCCCTTCATCTCCATGGGGTCAGTCTAGACCAGCACAACTTGTACTCTCCCCTAAATCCCCTCAAGCCTCAATGGGGGCTGGTTGAGGCAAACACACAGATTCCCCCTCCCAAGCCTTGATGGGGGTCGATCAAGGCACGCACAGCACTCAGCCTGCACATTCACCCCTATGGGGGTCACTGACCAGTACCCACCTGCTATTTATAGGGCAACATACAAAGAAAGCACATTGCCAGTGATAGCCTCACAGTTTTATATCACTTCACCCCTATATCTACTGCACAAGAATGTTAGAAACTGTTTTGAACCATGATTGTGAGAACTCTTATCTAACACCTGGGAAGTGGAGATTGTTATGGGTATGAACCCTGAGAAGAAAACTCTAAGAAAGAATAACAAAAAATCCACTTTACACACACTAAAATTCACTTTCCTTACAACCCCATATACTCCTTGCATGTAAAGTGTTATACACACTTCTGGGCATATAAAGACAAAAGTGAAACAGTTCTTACCCTCAAGGAGCTTACACTCAAATATATATATATATGTATGTATATATAATTACATGTAAATATATATTATTACATTCAAATATATTTATATATTTGAATATATATTATTACATTCAAAAATATATATATAATTACATGTAAAAAAATTTAACATTCATTTTAAATTTTAAATTTTGAATTTCAAACTCTCTCACTTCCTCATTAAGAACACAAGCAATTTTTATAAGTTATACGTGTGCCATCATGCAAAACATATTTCTATATTAGTCATGTTGTGAAAGAAAACAAATAAAAAAATAAAGTTTTTAAAAAGTATGCTTCGATTTTCAGTCAGACTAGGTGCTTACATTCTAATGAAGAAAGACAACGTGGACATATTTAGGTATGTACAAAACAAATACAAGCAGATACAAGATAACCTTGATAATGGCAGGCACTAGGAGCTATGAGAACCAAGACTGGCATCTCTAAAATTGATGCTTAAGCTGAGTATTAAAGAAAATCAGAGATTCAAGAAGGCAGAGGAGAAATGGAAGAGCATTTCAGGAATGGCCCAGAGTACAATGGCCCAGAGATGAGAGATGAAGTGTCATCTGTGAGGAACAACAAGTAGACCAGTACGGCCGAAACACAGAGAGAATGGAGAGCAATAATATATAAGAAAAACAGTAAGGCAAGGCTTGTACTGATTATGTGAAGATTAATTGAGTCAATATATGCTAAATGTTTTGCAAACTTTAACAGAAATGTCAGTTATTATTAACCACTTGTCCCCTGCCTTTCTTAATACAACTTTCTGGTCATAAAAAGTCCCATTCACAATGAGTCTAGACTTCTCAGATTTAGTGGGGACTTTAAAACTATGTGAGTCACAGTACCCTACCAATCAGACCAGATGCATTTCCATAAGGAGGCCAAGAAGGCTGAGTAATGTTGTATCCTTGCTGATATGGTTTCTATGTTATGATAGTTAAATAAACCCCTTTTTTTAATTAGTGACCTATGAGTATCTTATTTCATCCCAACAGCCAACCTTGACAGGCTACCAATATCTGCCCCTACTCTCAAGGTGATATACAAAGGAGTTCAGCTGGGTGGGAAATCAAGAGATGGCTAGCCTGGACAGACACCTTAAATGAAGGATATGGGAGAAGCTCTCCTCTCAGCCTCCATGCAGAGGCACTTTACGGGCAGAGGGCAATGATGAGGTGTGAGTTCTAAGGCTGAGATGATCTTGCAGGATGAAAAGGTCACTGTGGGACATGATGGAGAAGTTAAAAAAATACAGCTGAGTGGGAAATGAAGAGGCATACTAGTCCATGGATCTATCTTTCTGGATAGATCTATCCACCTAGACCCATCTTTCTTCTGAACATTTTGAAATCTCTGAAAATCTAGGGTGTATGTGACACTGTGCTTAGACTTCTTCTTCACTATCACAAACTCTAGGATGGAATATATGTGTGTGTGTGTGTGTGTGTATAAAATTTTTTTCTCCCCTAAGAATCAGCGAGCATTTACCAAGTGCCTACTTTGTGCTAAGGGTTGCACTAAGCACTGAAATCACAAAACTATAGAGTTCACTCACTCCTTTACTTTATTGGTGGAAAAAATGAGACCCAAAGATTTTAAAACCTCTGGCCCCAAAATCACACAAGTTGGTGGCTGAGCTACAATGACCCAGGTGTACCCATTTCATATTCAGGGATCTTTTCACAACTCAATAATCAGGCAGTGGAAAATAGGATAGATTGGAAGGGGGAAAGCTTCCCTACATTAAACCCTGGGTGGATTTGTTTGTTTGTAAATGTACAGTCGCTTCAAAAAGATCAATATTGGTAAATCAGAATTCTGGGTCACACCGGGTCAAGAGAGACTGAAGGGAGGAAGGGAAACGCAAGACTATGATGTTTGATCCCTCGCGGATACCGTAGTGCCGGGTTACTGTGGGCGGTCTTAATTGGCCGGAAGTGGAAGTTCATCCTTTTGCGTCTTCCTCGGCTCCTTGGAAGTTGTGAGTGTCTCTCCCGTGGTAAGGCGTGGGGCAATCCGGTGCCATCCTGCGGTTGTGGGAGGCAGGGGCTGCTCGGGGCTTCTCCAGGGGATGGGTGGGCGTAAGTGGGTTATGACCAGGGACCTTATTCCCGGAGCGGGACGGGGAATCGGGCTGGGAACGCTGGGGGTCCCGTCCCGCCGACGCCATGTTCCCCTTCTCTCTTGCAGGCGCGATCTCTCGGGCCCCACGCCGCCCCTCGTCCCGCCGCCGCCGCCGCCATGGTGAGTTCTCGAGGCCCGCGTCCGTGTGCCCACAGGCCTGCTTTCCTTCAGAAATGGGGGGGGGAGGCTGGAAGGGACCTTAGCGGCTCCCTAAGCCCAGCCTTCTCCTTTTACAGATGAGAAAACTGAGGTGAAGTGACTAGATAATAATAGTTACCACTTACAAAGCGCTTTACATAGGTGTTATTCCACCCTCGCAACACCCCTGAGAGATAGGGGGTATTGTCCTCATTCTACAGATGAGGAAACTGAGGCAGGTGGTTAAGTTACTTGCTCACGGTCACACCGCTGTTAATTGCATGAGGCTAGATTTAAACTCCGACCTTCTGACTCGCAAGTCCGGCGCTTTATACACCTCCCAGCTGCCTCCCAGACTTGCTGTGTGGGTCACACAGCTAGTGACCACCTGAGGTGGAATTTGAACCCAAGGCCTCATTCCCCTGCCTAGCATGGTATCCCTTTTATGCCAAACTGTTTTCTTTTGTTTGTGCTTTTCCTTTTGGGGAATGGAGCCTTAACCATAAGACCTGAGTTCAAATCTTAGTTCACTGTGACTTTAAGCAGGCCACCTCTTTTGGGCCTCTTTTTTTTTTTTTTTTAATTCATCACTAAAATCAAGGTATTGAAATAGATCAGGGTTTCTTAACCTGAAAGCTGTGAGCTTCTATTTTAAAAACGTCTTGATAGCTATTTCAATATAATTGGCTTTCTTTATAATTTTGCATTATTTTGTGTATTTGAAAACCTTATTCGTGAGGAGTCCTTGGCACAAGAGGTGAATCTCTGAACTAGATGCTGTCTTATGCTTTTCCTAACACTAATTCTACAAGTAAGTTCCTTGCCAGTAAGTAGAGTTTGCGTAATTCTTTGTAGTTTATGGCCAGTGCTTGGTACTTAAGAATTTTGTATTTATTGATTGATTGGTTTTGTCATTTCTTATGGAGGATGGGATAGCCTTTACCAGCAATGATAACCAACTAGTGTTTTGATTGTGTTGCAGCCCCGAAAAATCGAGGAAATAAAAGACTTCCTGCTGACAGCCAGGCGAAAAGATGCCAAATGTAAGTTATCTTTCCTGCTTCTTCAGATATTTGTGGGAGACTTGTTGCACCCCCAAATGCTGGCTAAATGTGCATTTTTTAGAGAAAAATTTATTTAGAAGGAATCAAATTAGCTGCAGCAAGCTGTTTATGGCATACATAATGAAGTCTAGAACTCAGGACTGTTCACATTCCCTGAGATAAGACTCTTATTAATAGCATGCATGGTTTTGGGGTTTTGTTTTGTCTAGCACTAGTATATACTCAGCCTAGATCAAGGGTTAATCTGAGATCACAAAGTTAGGATTGGGGGGGTTATGCCAATATAATTGCTTTCCTTTGTAATCCAGTATGTCCTGTTTGTGTGTATTTATCAATATTCTGAGAATGGGGTCCATAGGCATTCGTAACACAAAAAATGTTAACCCCTTGTTTAGAGTCATAGAACTAAGTAGTCTTAAAGGAGACTTAAAAGAGATCTGGTTCAACCCACTTCCCTGCCTAGTTAGTGGCAGAATAGGGACTAAAGAAGCTCAGAGCCATTGTCAGACTAAACAGTGACTTTAAGCAATACTAGCTTGGGATAAGTAAAAAAGAGTCTGAGTGAGTGTGGAGGAGGAATTACTGTGTTAGAGCTGGAAGGCACTTTAAGTAGCCACTAGAATTTGAACCTGGGCCCTTTGTTTCTAGATCCAGCACTTTTCATTACATCGTCTTATAAGATTGCTTACATGTACCAGCTCTCACTTGATCCTGCCAAGAAAGGAGATGAAGCTGAGGCCCAGAGAAGGGAAGACATCACATATGGGATAGCTAGGGTTTAGAGCCAGTAGTGGGCCCAAATATTAGCTTTCAGCCATTAAATTTCTCTGTCTTTCCTGCTTTTCACTCCTGTCCTCTTCCCTCTGTCTCTTATCATCCTTTCTTAGGACAGCCTCTTTGAGGCTTAAGTCCAAAGAAAAGGTGCAAACTTAGCCCAACGTGAACCTTCTTGTTTCATCCCTATGCCAGTGTCCCCCATATGAATACTCAGACTACATCTGATTGGTTTGGGAGTGAGGGAAAGGGGAGAATTAAAGGAGGACTTCTAGGGAACAAGGAGTTAGTGGATAGTGGTAGTTATGGGGGGGGGGTCAATGAAACAAATTTTTACAAAGGAAGTTCAGAAGAGGACTCAGGCATGCCTTTATAACAAATTTTTTTTTTTTTTTTTTGAATGATGAATACCCCCTTTGTGGAGCCTTTCCTGATGTCCTCTTCACCCTCCAGCAGGAAATATATTTTCCTTCCTTGGAAAAATTACTGGATCTGTAGTCAAAGGAACTAGGTTCAAATCCTGACAGAAATCCACAGTTTTTCGGGTCCTCAGTTATAGAAGGGAACTTAAGTGCATGATCTTTCCTGCTCTAAATGCTACAATGGTAATTTTGTAGTACTTGATACTTAGAGTACTTCTTACATGTATCAAGTTTTAATTAAATCCAGTAAAATCTGGAGATGGACTTGTTGTTCCATCCAACTCTTACATGACCCCATTTGGGATTTTGTTGGCAAAGATAACTGGAGTGGTTTGCCATTTCTTTCTCCGGCTCATTTTACAGATGAGGAAACTGAGGCAAACAGGGTTGAGTGAGTTGCCCAGGGTCACACAGCTAATAAGTATTTGGGGTCAGGCTTGAACTCAGGTCTTCCTAACTCGAGGCCTGGCACTCTATGTACTGTGCCACATAACTGGCCTAGGAAATGGAACTAGAGACTGGTATATTGAAAGGTAGCAAATAATTAAATGTGGGGGCTCAGGGGAGAGGAGGTGGGAAGTATGAATAAATAGGTTCAGGATATGGAGATGAAGAAGCTATGGCTAAGTGATTTTTCCCAGAATCACAAAGCCAATAAGTGAAGGAACCTAAATTATCTAATTTTTAATCCAGTGCTCAACTTGCAAAAGTATTAAATTAGGTTACCTGCCTACCAATGGGTACTTTTGAATTCTCTACTTCATATACAAGGTATTTTGCAGAAATTCATTTGGCATCCAGATTTTTATGAGTACAGCTGTTATACAAAGTAGAATGTTTAGTAGAGATGTTGGGACATAAGAATTTGCTCATTTGAATGGAAATTCAGATTACTGAGTTTATATGAAGCTTTGGTTGTGGCCTCAAATTACTGGAGTGCTATTTCTTGTGAGTGCCAGCCCTTAACATCAGTATCCCCTAAAAGTGTTGAAAAAGCTGAAGTTGCAGGTTTTGATGTTGAGTTAATTCACTTGTAAGTCCACTTACCTCTGGAATGTTTTGTGTGTCACTTTTTCTCTTCATTCACTTGTGCTTGAGTACTTTGACACAAATAACCTAAATTCAGTACTTAACCACCTGCTTCTTACTTGTTAGCATTCTAACAGCTTTTGTAATGATAGGCTCTTGGGGTTTTCTGTACGCTGTTTTTAAAATGTAAAACAAGGAGTTTGAGGATTCTGATGGAATTACTATAACCCAATCCGAAGAAGCAGATGTGTTCTGCCCATGTTACGTACCTCTAGAATGTATGGAAATATGCTGACACTTTTCGCATTAGCCTTGCCATTATGCAGATGTAAGATTTCAAACAGATTAGTCCTTAATTTGAGGTTTTATCTTAAAACTTGGTGTAAGGTTTTATTAAAAGCTTTGCTCTTGATGTAGGGAAATATCTGTCTTTTGGTGAAGGCTGGGAAAATGATGTATAATTCTGCTGTTCAGTCTCATTTCAAGACCATTTACATGGTCTTGAAAAGTGACTACTGGACAATCTAGCTTCCTTTCCATCCCCCAAATGGCTGCCTCCACTTCTTTGGCATTGTTGCCTGTGCTTTCTCATAGTAATTTTGGGGCCTTTTTCTTGTAGCTGTCAAGATCAAGAAAAACAAGGACAATGTGAAGTTTAAGGTTCGCTGCAGCAGATACCTGTACACACTGGTTATCACAGACAAAGAGAAGGCAGAGAAACTTAAACAGTCCCTGCCTCCTGGTGAGTTGGCCTAAAAGTCTGTGGCACAAAGGCTGAAATGGGAACCTGTTTTCTAAAAGGGCCAACCGAGAATGTGAGAGAAGGCTAGATTGTGTTTTGATCGTAAGTTATATTTATAAAGTTGGTGCTTCCAAGATCCCTACTGTTAAGGGACTATCAATTTGATTTGCTTGTAAGCTTTTGTGCCTTGTAAACAACTCCAAGACACATCCTGGTGAGTCTTGTCACTTGGCTTATTCCAGGTATTGCCTACTGGGAACAGTAGAACAGTGCTGGACTTTGAGCCAGAAGACCAAACAGGGTGTAAGTCCTGCCTACCTTGTAGTCTGATTGTGAAGGGAAGTGCTTCATGAACCTGAAAGAGCTACAGAAATGTGGCTATTTGCCTACTTGAGTGTTTCACATAAAGCACTGATATTTCCTAGTGTGAGGGCTCACAACCTGTTTTAATTTAATATGTGAGTCTGTCCATGGTTACAGAGGTGGGATTTGAATCTAAGTCCAGCACTCTATCCATGATGTTGCCTTGGTAGGTTGACCTATTATCATATGTAGTGATTAGTGTCATGGATGTATTTCTTTGGATATGATTGCATTCTTTACATGAAATGCTTGTCTTGGCAAAGGCATGAAGTCACCTGTTATCAGTTTCTTTCTGGTTAACTTGAATAAATTGAGGTTTTCAACTGTGCTTCTCATTTCAGCTATACTATGTAAGCTGACCAAGAATATAGTCCATTTTTTAAAAAATGGAGTTGAATAGGGAAAAGCATGGGTGTTTGCCTCATCTGTAAAATGGGTGTAATAATACTTGACACAAGATAATGAGGAAAGTCATTTATTAACTCTAACCACTGCTTATGAGCTATTGTTAGATCATCTCGGCTGTATTGGGACTTACCAATCTAAGGGATCTAGATTTTATATTACCTGCCCAGGTAATATAAAACACTTAACAAAAATAAAGATGTTCTAATATTTGCCAAATGAGAAGAGTGACTCATGAAAGAGGCTACAGCTAAGCTAAACTGAAACTTTAGGAACCGACTTCTCTGCTGTCCTCTTGGGGGTGGGGGGAGGGTTTGAGACAATGTAGCTTTAGATTTGTATGACTTAATTGGAATCTCTCACTGTCTGGGTGTGTGGGCCCATTTTCATTGTTTCACTGCAGTCAGTCTTAATGCTTATTTAAACTAAACATCTTTGGGGACTGATGATGTTGGCTAGGCTTTGCCAACTTTTCCCTTAGCTACACTACAAATGTTAAAAGTGTTTCTAGACAGACAGTGGTAATTACCGTGAAAGTCTGTCTTCTGGGTGACTTATCTTTTCTGTCTCCTTTCCTCTAGGTTTGGCTGTGAAAGAGCTGAAGTGAAGCAATCATTCAATGTTCCACCTGTATTAAAATGTAGGGAAAAAAAGAATTCTTGGGTGTCTTGTCTTTTCTTGGAGGGAGAGGTGATGCTTACGTTACTGCTTCTGAAGAATTCGTTTGTGGAGATGGTTTGTTTGCCATCTTCCACCACCCCTTTTCTTTGGTTGGCCTTATTGTAATCTTGAGATCAGATGTTCCATCGTTGGATAGGACATGATTTTTTTCGATCTGATTCTGAAGATGAATCCTGGGAGCCAAAACTGACTTTGAGGGGCTGATGTTAACATATTGATTTGATAGTATTGTGTTAAACCAGTCCAGGCAGACTGAGGGAAAGAGTGCCCGGGACTGGAAGCTGTTGAAAGCACGTTCATGCTTGTCAAATAATAAACACTGGTTTTAGTGCAGTGAGAGAGGTAAGAGGAGGCAGCGTGTATACAAGAGTATGTATAGAACAAATACAGGATTGTTAGGGTGAGCGTTTAAGAAGGCAAATTCTGACACAAAGAAGCCAATTGTAGAGTTTGTGAAAGAAGGCAATATGTGAAGCTGGAGAAATAAGATGAGGCCCAGTTGTGGTGGGCTTTGAAAGTCAAATACCTTACGTTACCTTCCCCACTATGACGTTCCCCAGGCTCACAACTTGGCTGTTGTCCTCAGTTCCTCACATCTCACTGTTCCCCCATATCCATTCAGTTGCCAGAATCTATGGATTTCACTTTTGTAACAAGAATATACCATACCCTTCTCAGTAGTGCTGATGCAGGCCCTCACCATCTCTCTCTCTCTCTCACTCCCTTACATGCTTGCTCAAGCTCCACATCAAATAACTACCCTTGCTGTTACTTAAACAAGGCACTTAGAACTCAGCATTTTCATTGGCTGTCCCCCATGCCTGGAATATGTCCTCCCTCATCAGCCAAAATCCCACTTCCAGGAAGCTATTCTTAACCTGTCAATTCTAGTGCCTCTGTTGATTTTCACCTGTTCTCTATAACTTTTTTGTGTGTGGTTCTTTGCATGTTGTGTTGCTGTTAGACTGGACTTCTTGACAGCAGGGACTGTCTTTTGCCTTTCTTTGTATTCCCAGGAGTTAGCACCATTCCTAGCATATAGTAGGTGCTTGATAAAGGTTTTTTGACTGAGTCACAGTGAGATAGGTACTTTGAAAGGAAAAAGGCAAGCTGCCATGGGTAAGATGGAGAGTCCACGGATAACACTGCGGTTATGATTCCAGAAACCAGAAGATTGCTAGTGTTTCAATAGATATAACAAAGTTTAGAAGAGTGAATTGGGGGTAACAGGAAGATAAGTTGTTTTGGCTGTGTTGACTTAGATGTCTCTGCTACCTCCAGCTTTAATTGTCCAGTGTCGCTATTGGTGATATGAGACTGGTTTACAAGAAAGACCAGGGTTATACATAAATATATATGACTCTTCATAGAGGTAATTAAACCACTTGAAGTTAATCTCAGGTTACCACAAAAGTAGAGAAGAGGGTTCAGGAAAGAATTTTGGGGCACACCCACAAGCGTAATGATAATGAATGATTGAGCAGTCACAGAAATGTGGGAAAAGTTATTTAAATTTTAGTTGCGCTCTCAATTCCCTCTAAGATTTAGCAGCATCAGGGGCAGTTAGGTGGTATAGTGGGTAGAATTCTGGCCTTGGAGTAAGAAGGACCTGAGTTCAAATCTGGCCTCAGACACTTGATAATTACTAGTTGTGTGACCCTGGGCAAGTCACTTAACCCTAATTGCCTTGCCCTCAAAGAAATGGTTCATATCTGGGGCAGCTAGGTGGCACAATGGATAGAGCACTGGCCCTGGAATCAGGAGGACCTGAGTTCAAATTCGGTCTCAGAGCAGACACTTTGCACTTATTAGCTGTGTGACCCTGGACAAGTCACTTAACCCCAATTGCCTCGAGGAAAAAAAAAGGATTTAGCAGCATTTGAGTGATCTGATAGGAAAAGTGTTAAAAGTGTCTCAAGGTATCTATTGTTGCGTTCTTATGTGTGGGAGTCAATAACACCCACAGGTTCTGCCTTCTGTATCAGTGTAGGGACTGTGGTATGATCCCAAAGTGGGTGTGATTGATTTGAGGTTGGGGTGAATGTTTCATCTGACTACATTTGGCTTGTCTCCAAGTGATAGTTTGGATCCATGTTCAATCAATCTCCCTTGTTATTTGTTACCCTCACTATATGACAAGCCCGTATCTTTTCCAATAAACTCTTTAGAAGTAGGAACAGCTTAATTTTTTGTCTGTCTCCAGTGTCTAGCACATAGCTGCATAACGTCTGTTGATTTTTTTAAGTCATTGGTAATATGCTGCAGCTTACTTACGCAAACGTGTCTTTCCATTGCCTTTTGGATTACCTGTGATTGTTGTTTTTTTTTTTTATTATGAGGTCATAGTCACTATTCCTAGATACTGTTTAATAGTTGAAAACTGGTAGTTTTCAACTGGAATCCAGCTTGAACCCTCCTCAGTTCTGGACCTAGTTTATTTTCTGTTGGCAACATTTGTCCATGTCGACTAACTCTGGGCTCCCAGCCAGTTTTCTTAATCTGGGCAATATGTGCTCTTGACATGATTTTTTCTGAATATGTATAGTCGAACTGTTCAAAAAAATGTTATATTGTTGCCTTTTGTTTTTTCCATCTGTCTGAGTTTCTGATTGTATACCCTCACAGAGAAACCATCCCTTGTAGGAAAAAGTTAAAACAATCGGAAACAAGTACCCTATTTGACCACAGTTCCCTACCCTCACATCTTGCCCACCCCTCCCTTTCCAAGGAAAGGAGGGCAGTGCGTTTCCTCATCTCTTCTCCAGTGCCAAATTGTTCTTAGAATTATACAATATTCAAGTTCATTATGTTATTTTCATTTACATTATTTTAGTCATTGAGTATATTTTTTTCCTGGTTCTCTCTATCATTTCAAAGAATTTTGCATGTTTCTCTTAATTTCTCATATTCCCCAGATTCTTTTGACACAACATTTGATTTGTTCAGCCATTTTCTAATCAACAGGTTTCCACTTTGTTTCTGGATTTTTTCGCTACCACAAAAAGTGCTACTGTGAATATTTTGGTATATAGGATCCTTTTCAAAAAAAACTTGTAAATAAATGTTGCAGTTCTAATAACTAAGATTCTCAGTATCAGTCTTGGAGGCTAAAAAATTAAACTGTTACTTTGATATGTGTGTTACATAAGAAAAGTTAACAAAATAACATCTAAAGCGATACGTGACTATAGTTTGTGCTTTGTATTTCTTAGGTTTGGGCCTTTGATATGATATGACATAGTAGTCTCAAAAACTTTTTTTGATCATGCACTCCATCAGTTAAAAAAAAATATTTAATGTGCACTTCTAATATTTATAAATTTCTTACATATACTGTTGTACTTATGTACGGTATTGAAAAAAAATAGAAATTTAATAGGATTCAGATTTTAAGTAGTCTTTTGGCTAATTGTAGACCCTTTTGGTCTTGTTAAAATATTAACATTTTGGGGGGGCAGGTAGGTGGCACAGTGCATAGAGCACCGGCCCTGAAGTCAGGAGGACCTGAGTTCAAATGCGGCCTCAGACCAAACACTTGACACTTCCTAGCTGTGTGACACTGGGCAAATCACTTAACCCCAATTTCCTAAAAAAAAAAGAAAAAAATTAGCATTTTTATTAAGAGCAAAGTGATTGGATATGCTTCATTTTAAAAAATTTAACACTTGAAATAGCAATTCAAAGGTCCAGTTCTAAATTTATTTTGATACTTGGTTTTAATGACTATCAATATCTGAAGACACATAGATCTAAAAGGAAGAAATACACCATTGGCTACATTTGCTAAATCACAGTACTCATTTTTCGCTAATGCAAAAGTTTTTCTTGAAATTCAGCTAGTAAATTTCCATCTTCCTTAATGTCAGTGAGTTCTTGGAAAATAAAGGGTTGCATTTCTATATTTTTAACAAATAAGTTCACAATCCACTGTGCACTGGGAGTGACACTTGTTTTGCATAAACTGGGTTGCCCCTTGAAAGTTCTAATATTATATCCCAGTGGGATATTACATCCCTTGGCATCCCACTTTGGAGACACAGATCTAGGAGTTCACTGTCTTCTATTTGACAGGGAGGGAAGGGTAAACATTTGGTAGGTCACTAGGTGGAGCTATGTCACAATGAAAGAAAAGCAACCCATTGTTTGAATTTAAAGTAGAATCGTCCAGAAATTAACTACATCCAAAACAAAAATATTTGACCCCAAAGGTAAAAGAGAACCACTGGAGTTTATTGAGTACGAAAGTAACTTGGTCAGGCTGGTACTTTAGGAAAATCACTTTGGCAGCTGTATTAAGGGAGAGACTCGAGCAGGGAAACCTAAATAGTCTTGAGGCTCTTACGAAGTTATTCTTTCCGCATCTCGACTTTCCCCATTGTGGTTTCCATATATTGTGAGTTCGAATAATAAAGTGGGAATTTGGGGGGAATTTTTCAGAAGCCATAGACATTCGAAGACCAGCAGACAACACAACCTATAACCAAATACTTAAACGTTACAATAAGGTACTGCAAACACCCCATAAAAGAAAAAAAAAATCAGACTTTTTCTCTAGTACGTAGGGAGGGCCAAAAAGTTTTATGTGGATTTTCCAGATCTCTGGGTGCTGTTCCCCTAACCCTCACAATGTAGAAGAGATGACTAGAAGTCAAGGCAAAAGGAGATGAAAACCTCAACTAGGTTTAATGATCTTGTCAGGAGAGAGAAGAGAGTTGTGAAAGATTTGGAGGTGTTGATCATATGGAGATTTGGCAACTGATTGAATATGTGGAGAGAAGAATGAAGAGGCCAGGATAACACTGAATTTGCAAAACCTAAGTGACTGAAAGGATGGTGGTTCCTATGACAGAAATGGGGACCTTCAGAAAAGAGATTTGAGGGGAAGATGATCCGGTTTTGGACATATGAATTGGAGAACTGTAACTAGCAAGGGAGAGACTAGGGTTAGATATATAGATTTGGGTGTCATCTGCAG